ATGGCCCCGCCCCGGCCCGGCCGCCCCGCCTCCTTACCGCCCTCCCAGTCCGAGTCCCGGTCCAGCTGACCCGCGCTGTTCACGATGTTGGCCAAGTGCACCGCAGTCCAGGCGAAGGGCATGCGGTAGCGGCCCAGACGGGTGCAGAACTGCTCGGCCGCCAGGCGCAGCTTCTCTAGCTTCTCCTTGTTCTGCGGGGAGACCACGGCCCTTCGCCTGCTCAGCGTCCAGGCCCACGGAATCCAGCGTCCGCTCCGTCTGGCCCAGCCTCTGAACGCTTACCTTTGCCGTGTCCGCCTCCTTCAGCACCATGTAGGGCTCACAGCACTCGCCGATGTCCCCTTGCTGTAGCACTTTCTCCAGCTGTGCAGCAGGCGGCCCAGTGAGCCACGGCCCGGACCCCCACCCCCTCCTGCCGCCCATCCAGTCTCCGGGACCCCTCATGGGCCTCCAGACAGCGCCCATCACATGGAGGCTTTTGCTCTAACACCTCCCATGGCTCCGTCTCTGGGTCGAGAACCAGCACTGGGTCTACCGGGCGGCCACCCCTCTCCCACCCTTCGGACCCCCACCCAAACCACAAGCCCACCTTTAGCTGGTGGCATTTCCCCTATATTTATGTTTTTCTTTGTTAGGGTAAACAGAGGCCACTCTGGGCGTGGCTCTGGTCCACAAGGCCTGGACTCCTAACCACTCAGGGGCTGTGGGACCCTGGGAAGATCCCTTACCTGCTCTGTGCCTCAGTTTCCCCATCTGGAAATTGGGGGCCATGGCAACCCACCACCTGGGGGCCTGCTGTGAGTGCTAAAAGGAAACCCTTTGGAGCATGACTTTGAGCAGGGGCTGCCTACGAGCGTTCGTTTCACCATTGTAATCTGAAGGTTCTGGGAAAGGACACCTGACCTCACTCCGGGAAACAGAAAATCACAACTAGGTCTTCTGTCTGTCCGTGGACTTGCCGCCAGCATCTCGCTTGCCTCCCGCAGCCTGCAGGCTGTCACATGTGCCCAGGGATGGCCTTTCTCCCCAGGCTGCCCACTCCCCGGTCTCCCCGCAGCTGTCACCTCTCCCCAGAAGCCCTTGGTGATCGCTCGCCACGTGGGCTGGGCCGGGGGTCTCCTCCAGCCGCCTGTGCCTCCCCCCCGACAGCCCTGATCACCCTTCCCGGTGACTGCCTCATCCTGTGAAGGCAGGGAGCAGACCTGTGTCATCCACCATTGCCACCCCTTGCCCGGTCCCAGCAGGCACCTTGATGACTAGGAAGATGTCGGGTGAGGGATAGGTCACGGAGAAGATGGCGGAACGGGCCAGGGTAGAGATGGCTGGGTGGGTGCTGTGGGCCCGAAGCAGCCCCTTCATGGAGTCCGAGTTCAGGTCAAAGTAGAAGTTCTCTGAGATCTGGGGACACCAGAGTCAGGCAGGTCACCACCTCCAGGAAGCCCGCAGCCCTCAACAAGGAGGCAGGGAAGAAAGAGAAGGGGCTCCTACCTTCTTCTTCTCTCGCACATCGTACAGGGCCAAGATTCCAAAGATAGGTTCAATTTCAATCTCAAACCTGTGAATAGATTGGGGGGTCTGTTTGACACCCCCACTGTCCACACACCTCACTCCCCCTTGGGGCCCAAGGCCCCGGGAGCAGCTGACTTCCACTGGGCCACATGAACCACCATTTAAGGGCTTATATGCCATTTTGTAGAAGGAGAAACCGAGGCACTGGGTGGTTTGTTTTTTTACCCCCTCCCTACTCCCTCAGTAACTCATAAAGCCCGTCCTCTCTGTTGCAACCACGACCCTTGTTCAGTTGCCAAGGAGACAGTAGATAGTTTTTGTTTTTTTAGAATTGGGGTCTTGCTCTGTGGCCCAGGCTGCAGTGCAGAGGTGAGATCACAGCTCATTGAAGCCTTGGCCTCCTGGGCTCAAGCAATCCTCCTGCCTCAGCCTGGCTAATTTTTTAAAAATTTCTTGGAGTCGGGCTCGGTGGCTCAGCCTGTAATCCCACGCCTTGGGAGGCTGAGGTGAGTGGACTGCCTGAGCCTGCGGGTTCGAGACCCGCCTGGGCAACTTGGCGAGACCTCATCTCTACAATAAATAAAAAAATCAGCCGGGCATGGTAGCATATGCCTGTAATTCCCGCTACTTGGAAGGCTGAGGCGGAAGGATCGCCGGAGCCCAGCAGGTTAAGGCTGCGGTGGCCGGGAGCGGTGGCTCAGCCTGTAATCCCAGCACTTTGGGAGGCCGAGGAGAAAGGACTGCCTGAGCAACTTGGTGAGACCTTGTCTCTACAATAAATCACCAAAAAAAACCAAAAAAAAAAAAACTAGCCGGATGCGGTGGCATCCGTCTGTAGCTCCAGCTACTTGGAAGGCTAAGGTGGCAGTATCGCCTAAGTGCAGCAGGTGGAGGCTGCGATGGCTGTGAGCGCGCTCTAGCCTGGGCAACAGGAGTGATACTCCAAAAAAAAAAAAATCCGGCGATCCTTCCGCCTCAGCCTTCCGAGTAGCCGGAATTACAGGCATGTGCTACCATGCCCGGCTGATTTTTTGGTTTATTGTTAAGATGAGGTCTCGCTGCCCAGGCGAGTCTCGAACCCACGGGCTCAGGCAATCCACTCACCTCAGCCTCCCAAAGGTGAGGGATTACAGGCTGAGCCACCGAGCCTGGTGAAAAATTAATTTCTTTAGAGACAAGGTCTTGCTATGTTGCCCAGGTTGGCCTTGAACTCCTGGGCTGAAGGGCTCCTCCTACCTTGGCCTCCCAAAGTGCTGGGATTTCTCCTGGGCTCCCCTGCTTCCCCACTCCAGGGTGTCCCTTGCTGCCACCGCCACTCTGTGCTGAGTCCCCTCCTTGCCCACATGAACGGCCACCATAACCACTCCCCGTATGGTGCAGCACTCCCCCCACCCCGTGACCTTGTCCCCTCCAAAAGGCAGGGGAGCCCACACGCTTGTGTCTTCTTGCCTGCCGCAGGGCGCGGCACCCACCACATCCCTCCCACCCCTGCGTCTTGCCAGCTGAATCCCACTCCCCGCCATCGCTCCCGCTGGGCCAGGAGCCTCCCCTGGGCCCCTAGACACCCTGAGCTGCTCTCATCCTGGCCCTGTGTGGTCCTCGCATGGCCGTGCGTCCTGTACACAGCAGGCACTCTGGGAGTGTTTGTGAATGACTGGAGGATCCCACGGCGTAGGTTCCCAAGCCTTGTGCTCAGGACAGGAGGCCCACCCAGGCCTCAAGCCAGAAGGCAGTCTCCCTTTCCTGCCCCTAGGCAGGAACTTGGGGTGGGGAGGGGCAGGGCCAGGCTCGGATCCAAGCCCACATCCTGTTCAGCTCTGTTCCCACCCACTTCTGGCTGCTCCTGGGGGCAGGGGTGGAGGGGGCCTTGGGCGGCTGGGAGCCAGGCCAGGGTCACAGCACTCCCAGCCCCGGACCCCAGCCGCAGGGAGGCGAGCACCAGACTCTGATCTCCCAAGCCGTGTGGTCTTGGCACAATGATGTTGCCATTCGGTGCCTCAGTTTCCCCACCTGTGCCCACTTCAAGGTTTTGGCGAAGATTCAATGGGTTGATATTCATGAAGCGGCCAGGCGCAGTGGCTCATGCCTGTTATCCCAGTATTTTGGGAGGCTGAGGTAGGAGAAATCACTTGAGCCTGGAAGTTCGAGACCAGCCTGGGTAACATAGTGAGAACCCATCTCTCTCTCTCTTTCTCTCTCTTTTTTTTTTTTTTTGAGTTGGAATCTCACTCTGTCGCCCAGGCTGGAGTGCAGTGGTATGTTCATGGTCACCACAACCTCAACCTGCTGGGCTCAAGTGATCCTTCCACCTCAGCTTTCCAAGTAGCTGGAACCACAGGTGTGTGCCATCACACCTGGCTAATTTTTTTTTTAATTGTAGAGACAAGGTCTCACCAAGTTGCCCAGGCTGGTTTCAAATCCCTGAGTTCACCACACCCAGTTAACTCCATCTCTATAAAAAAATTAGCCAGGCATGGTGATGAACCCCTGTAATCCCAGCTACTCGGGAGGCTAAGGCAGGAGGACTACATGAGCCCAGGAGGTGAAGCCTGTGCTGAGCCGTGATCGTGCCACCGCACTCCAGCCTGGGAAACAGAGTGAGATCCCCAACTCAAACAAACAAAAAAAGAAGGACTGAGAATACAGCCTGGTAGGCAATCGGTGCTTAAGCACTGCTGTCTTAGAACAGTGAAAATGGAAGTCTTCTTGCCCCCATAAAAGCCCACAGGTGGCCTCATGGGTCATGGGGTTGCCCACGGTAATGGCACGGCACAGGCAGCGGGCACCCGCACCAGAACCCATGTGACCCCCTTGTGCATCTGAGGAGGGGGATGGGTTGACACACTCACTTAAGAGACAGGCACTTGACCAAGATCCTCTGTCCAAAGTGCTCGCGGGGGGGCTCCGGGCAGCTGCAGCGCTCCACAGCCTCGTCCTGCCAAGAGCCAGGGGGTGGGGGGACACAGCTGGGACACACCTTCTAGGAAGGGCTTGGAGTTCTCGGCCGAAGACCAAGTCCACCCCCAGCCTAGCAATGTCTTCCGGTCCCTTGCCTCTGAGCTTCTGCACATGCTGCTCCCTCTACCTGGAATGCCCTTCTCCCCTCCTCTGGCCAGTGCCTGCCTACCACCCAGGGCTCAGCTTAGCCGATGCTTCCTCCAGGAAGTCTTCCCTGGGCCCTGGGCAGGCCCCTCTTCCAGTCCTCACCCACCCTGGGCTGGCACACAGGACTGTGCAAGGGATGGTCACCAGCACCATCACGGCACGACTCTGGGATGTCATTTCCCAGTAGAGGGGTCTCTCTTCCAACAGTGCACTCTGAGGGCGGGGACTGGTCTATCTGAGTCATGGCTGTGTCTCCAGTGCCAACAATACAGCAAGCACCCAGACATGTTGGTTGAATAACTACATAGACACACAATAGGCACCTACCATGCCTATGGCTGGATAAACATAGGCATAGACAGAAAGCATCCAGTAAACGCTGACTGGACATATGTAGGGAAATGCACTAGGCACCCAATAAGTGATGATTAAATAAATATAGAAGTACACAGTAGCACTCAATAAATGGCTAAATAAAAACACAGGATAGCTGGGCGTAGTGGCACGTCCTGTACTTCCAGCTACTTGGAAGGCTGAGGTGGAAGGATCGCCTGAGCCCAGCAGGTCAAGGCTGCCGTGGCCATGAGTGTGTCACTGCACTCCAGGCTGGACGACGGAGTGAGACTCCTACTCAAAAAAAATTTACCAAAAAAAAAAATTATAAAAAAATATAAAGCACAGGAATATATACCAGGTGCCAGATAAACGTTGGTTGGATAAATATCTAAAATAAACATAGGCATATGTGACAGGTACACAATAAATATTATTTGAATAAATAGAGAAGTATACAGCAGACATACGTGTGTTGAATGAATACAGGGACATACAGTTGGCACTCAGGAGATGCTGGTTAGATAAATATAGGCATGCATAGTCAATGTCCATATACACAGGACACCGAATAGACCTAGAGCATCCAGTAGCTACCCAATAAATGCCGGTTCTACAAATACAGGGGTGTGGAGTAGGTGTCTATACGGAAGAGCTACTGAACAATCGTAGTGCATGCAGCAGGTGCTCACTAAGCCTTGGGTGCATAAGCTAACCATGCACGGCAGATGCTCAATGAATACTGTTTACAGCAGGCAGGCGTGGGCTGAAGGGCAGGCGTACAGCCGGCGCCCAATACACGCCGGCTGGGTGAAAACGAGCATGTCCGCCGGGGCCACACACGAAAGCCACGGGAGGAAGGGAGGCACACAGCAGGCACCGGCCGAGGCTGGCCGCAGACACGTGGGGCGGGGCGGGAGTCCGCGCGCCAGAGCCGCGCGGGCGGCGCCGGGCGGGCGGCCGGCCACGCACCTCGTCGGGCGCCGCGTAGAGGGCCAGCAGGGCGCCGGGCCGGCTCTGCCGCCGCAGGGCCTCGTTGCGCCGGTCCACGTCCTCGGGGGCCGCCCGCTCCAGCAGCGCGGGCAGCAGGGCGTCGGCCGCCAGCGTCCGCAGGTCGAAGATGCCGGAGGCGCCGCTGCTCCGGGGCGTGTCTTCCGGGGAGCCCGAGCGGCGCCGGCCCGCCTCCTGCGGGGGGGGGGGGGAGCAGGTGCGCACGCGCGGCCCGGGCTCCGGGCGGGACGCTGAGGGCCGGGGGCGGGGTCGCTCGGGGCCCCACGACTCCCTGGCGGGCCAGAGGCGCCCTCCGCTCCCGGCCACCCGCGGCGCGCCACCTGCATTTACGGCCGGCACGCAGTTTCGCCAAGCTGCCCGGGCAGGTCTCGAACCCGGGCTCAGGCAGTCCTCTCGCCTCGGCCTCCCAAAGTGCTGGGCTGACAGGCTTGACGGGCTTGGGCCCCCGGGCCTGGCTCACCACCTTTTTTGGCTCACACCTTTTTTTTTTTTTTTTTTGAGTGGGAGTCTCACTCGGTCGCCCAGGCTGGGGTGCAGCGGCCGCTCCCGGCCCCCGCAGCCTCGACCTGCTGGGCTCCCGCGATCCTCCCGCCTCAGCCTTCCGAGCAGCTGGAACTACAGGCGCGCGCCACCACGCCCGGCTCATTGCTGATGTATTGTCGAGACGAGGGCTCGCCAGGTTGCCCGGGCGGGTCTCGAACCCGCGGGCTCAGGCCATCCACTTGCCTCCCAAAGCGCCGGGATTAAAGGCTGAGCCACCGAGCCTGGCCTTGGCTCACCACTCTTACTATCGCTTGGGGAGGCGGCTCCTAGGCCACATTCTGGGTGTCATGTGACCCTTGTCTGACCCATCAGAGACCTCACCTCACAATTGGCTCCAAGGCAAGGATGTGCCCGGGCTGGGCCAATGAGAACCTGTCCTGGGACTCTGCTCACTGTTGCCAGGGCAGCCAAGAGTTCTTTCTGACCACCCAGACTCAGCTGTGGTCCCAGCCAGACCACCAGGTTTCAATCCCAGCTTAGCTCTGTGACCCTGGATCTGTGGCCCCAAGGCTAAGGGCCTTAGTTTTCCCATCTATACCTAGCAATAATAACAACAGAAACCACCATCATTCTTGGAATAGCTATTTCCAGTATAACATAGGTGCTCAATAAATGTTGATTGACAGAATACAGGCTCAAGACCTCTAATCACCATGCTAAGCCTCAGTTTCTTTACCTACAAAATGGGTGGGGATGGTGGCCCTAACTCACAGGACGAAAGGAAAGGACTCGTATCAGGCATTTAGTACACACTCGGCATTCAATCAATGTTTACAATTATGACTCCTAACTTTTCACACACAACTCCTTTTGGGCTCCAGGTGGTTTTGGTCGTTTCCTGTCACATGTGACTGAAAGCTGGGGTCAAGAGCCTACACACATACCCTGCGGTGACCCTGGCCAGGGGGTCCCTCTCACCGAGTCCTCAGGGCCGGGCCTCTCGTCCCCAGAAACATCCTGCTCAAAGACCTGGCGGGGCAAGGCCTTCTGTCGCTCTCGCTGTGCCTCTGTGGTGATGGGGCTGTACGCGGCACTCAGGTTCTGGTACCTAGCAGGAGTGGGGGCTGGGCAAGTGGCAGGGCTGAAGACCCCCCAGTGTACCCCAACACACCTACACGACACCTGCAAGGCCACCACCCTCCTTGTGCTATAGCGGAGAAGTCTGGCTGCCCTTGCAAGGACAGCGGGTGGACCAACAGCAGGAACAGCCACAGACAACAGCTCAGCTCTTCTGGGCTCAGAGCTCCCCTAACTAACCCCCACATCAGACCCACCTTCTGTGGACGATGACCCAATCCTCAGTGTACATCTCGACTGCAGCCCGTGCCTGGGCATCCAGTTTTCTGCAGCAAAAGACAATTAGGGTAAACTGAGGCAGGGCCTCTATGAATCCTCCCAGCGGCCTGGGAGGAAATTGGGACTGCCATGCCTGTTTCAGAGATAGGGAGATGGAGGCCCAGAGAAGCAGGATGACTTGGCCAAGGTCACACAGCCGAAGCAGGAGTTGACCTTGGGGCTGCTGGATCCTGGGATCTGCCCCGAAAGGGGGTGTGGGGCTGAACCCACCCATCCTCGGGGATCCCGGGCTCTGTGGTCCGGCATTCCCGGGGCTGCAGTAGCAGTTCCAAGTCATCGGCTGGGAATTCCACCAGATCCCTGAGGGGCCCGGGCTCGGCATCTGGTGGCCGGCTCAGAAGCACATCCTCGAAGTCCAGGGGCTCGATGACCTCCGTCAAGGGGACCTGGGTTGGAGCAGAGGGGCCGTGACCCGCTGTCCCATGCGAGGTGGGCACTAGGTGGCCTTCAGACTCGAATAGAAGGGCGGTGGGAGCCACAGAGGGTGTGAGAGCTACAGAGCAGCCAAGGAGGAGGGTGACCTCAGACCCTCCACACCCACTGCAGCTTGGCTGGCCCCACCCCGCCCCCAGGAGCTGCAGGAAGGAAATCACACCCTAGCCTGGAAGGAAAGACATGTAGACAGAGGCCAGGCAAGAGAGGATTCCTAAGGCCCCACCCTCCTCCCTGCAGGAAGTCGCTCCCTTCCCCCAGCTTCCCTCCTCAGCCCCATCCGGGTGGTCCAGACAAAGTCAGGCAGGAGCCACTCCCCTCACCCACAGGGCCCCCAAGCCACTGTAGGGAGGGTGGCTACAGAATGGGGACAGGGACAGGGGACTGGGGCTGGGACAGGGCCTCTCCCCTTCCCCCCAGGTCCCTGTTTCCCAGCAGGATAGGGGGGGGCAACCCCCATATACCTACCCCCAGGGTGCTGCTGCAGCGCCGGCTGGAGTGGGGGGAGCCACTGCGTTCCCGGGACACCTGCTTCCTCACCTCAGCGGCCACCGTCCTGGCGGGACAGGAAGTGGGCCATTGGGGGCAGGAAAACTCAGGCACCGGGGCCCTGAGAACCTGGGCTTCGGGCGCCACAGAATTCAGGTGCCCGAAGTGGGGCCCTGAGAACCCAGACCTCAGGAGCCACAGACCTGGGGCAACCGGGCCCTGAGAACCCAGGCATCGGGAGCCATAGACTTCAGGCAGCGGGGCCCTGAGAACCCAGGCCTCGGGGCTGACAGTCATTCTATGAGAAAAAAAGGAAGAAAACAGGCAAAGGCCAAGATAACCCAGGCTTCAGGAGCCACAGACCTCAGGCTGGGGGGCCCCAGGGCACATAATTCCCTGGACCCCCAAGGCCGGGCTTAGGGCCCATCCGACCCCTCCCCCATTAAGCACGAAGCTTGAAGGGGTCACAGACTCCCTTCCTGGCGGGAGGCCGAGGGTCCTTGGCCTCTGCTCCCTCATCTGCAGGACCCCTGCCTGCCCTAGAGGTCCCCTCACATACCCAGCCCTGCCCTGGACACCATCCAGAAAGGGTGTCCCTTCCTATCCTTGCTGAGGGGCCTTAGACAAGTCATCCAGCCTCTGAGCCTCAGTTTAGCATCTGTAGCTGCCCTGACCTCACAGGAGAGGCCTCCGAAGCACTCTGGCAAACGAAGGTCGGTGCCGAGACCTTCCTGGGCCCCCTGCATCCGAGCTGGCCTCCAAAGGGAGGATGGGTCCCAGCAACAAGGAACAGGGGGTGGGGTGCACCACGTGAGGGCAGGGGTGGCTCAGTCCCTCAAGACATTCAGCCGGGCTTAGGCGGAAGGGAGAAAGAGCGCCAGGCAGTCACCTGGGAGGAGACTGGGCCAAGCCAGGGACCTGGGCTGGAGCAGAGGAGCGGCAACCCACTGCCCAGTGGCTGGAGCGGGGGTGCAAGGTGGAGTGCGGTGGGAGCCACGGGGGGCACCAGAGCTATGGAGGAGCCAGTACGGCCCTGAGGCTGGCTCAGCACTCTGAGCGTGGAGACCTCTGCTCCCCGGGGTCTCTGTGACAGTAAGAACTAAGGCTGTGAGGTCCCCAGAGAGGGCCCAGTGGTAGGCCTGGCACATACTAGGTGCTCAATATATGCATTTTTGGACAGAATGAGTGAATTCCTCCTAGTCTCCCTCTTGCTCCAACTTTCCCAAAACTGCTGAGTGAGGGGAAGCCCCAGATAATCTGGCTGTGTGGCAATGGGCAGGTAGGACACCCTCTCTGGGCTTCAGTCCCTCTTAGAATCCAGAAGCTGACTGACTGGGAGCTCAAGACTCATCCCTTTATGCTTCCTACTTTTTTCTTTTTTGAGTCAGAGTTTCACTCTGTCGCCCAGGCTGAGGTGCAGTGGTACACTCATGGCCACCGCAGACCTGACCTCCCGGGCTCAGGTGATCCTTCTGCCTCAGCCTTCCAAGTAGCAGTTAATTTTTTGATTTACTGTAGAGACGAGATCTTGCCATGTTGCCCAGGGTGGTCTCGAATCCATGGGCTCAGGCCATCCTCTTACCTCTGCCTCGCAGTGCTAGGATTACAGGTGTGAGCTATCACGCCCGGTCTTTTTTTTTTTTTTGAGTCGGAGTCTCACTCTGTCGCCCAGACTGGAGTGCAGTGGCCGCTCCAGGCCACCGCAGCCTCCACCTGCTGGGCTCCAGCGATCCTTCTGCCTCAGCCTTCCAAGTAGCCGGAATTACAGGCATGCGCTACCACGCATGCCTGATTTTTTTATTTATTGTAGAGATGAGGTCTCGCTGCCCAGGCGGGTCTCAAACCCGCGGGCTCAGGCAATCCACTCACCTCAGCCTCCCAAAGGCGCGGGATGACAGGCTGAGCCACCGAGCCCTGCGATTCACTGCAGCCTTAAACTGGATTCAAGCACTGCTCCCACCTCTGCCTCCTTAGTAGCTGGGACTACAGGTGCCACTGCGCTCAGCTAATTTTTCAATACTTTTTTTGTAGAGATGAGACCTCGCCATGTTGCCCAGGCTGGTCTCAAACGCCTGGGCTCAAGCAGTCCTCCCGTCTCGGCCTCCCAAAGTGCTGGGATGACAGGCGTAAGCCTGGTCTCAAACGCCTGGACTCAAGCAGTCCTCCCGTCTCGGCCTCCCAAAGTGCTGGGATGACAGGCGTAAGTCACCGCCCTCGAACAACTGTCCCTCGTGTTATCTACATTTTTGTCTACAGTCACAGAGTCTTGCTTCTGCAGGCAAGGGAGTGGGGGAGGAGCCTGTGGAAATTCCAAGGATGGGCCGGGTTCGGTGTCTCAGCCTGTCATCCCAGCACTTTAGGAGGCCGAAGTCAGTGGACTGCCTGAGCCTGCAGGTTCGAGACCTGCCTGGGCAACTTTATTGGCGAGACCTCGTCTCTACAATAAATCAAAAAATTAGACGGGCGTGGTAGCGCACACCTGTAGTTCCCGCTCCTTGGAAGGCTGAGGCAGATCGCCGGAGCCCAGCGGTTCGAGGCTGCAGTGGCTAGGAGTATGCGTGCCATGACACTACTGCACTCCAGCCTGGGCGAAGGAGTGAGACTCCAACTCAAAAACAACAACAGCAACAACAGAGAGATTCCAAGAACGTGAAGCATGAGAACTTTTGTCCTCAAATTCCCAAAGCTGGGCTGTCTCCTTGGCAGCCCCAGCACACAGGGCTTGGGGGTGTCAGGAGCTGCTGGGACAGATGAGGCTGTGCCCGGGCCCAGCTGTTCTGCAGCTGCCGCCCAGAGAAGGAAGGGAGGGATGGGCCTCCAGCTGCATCTTCCCCTCGGCCTTGGAGAGAGGCTGCTGCGGTGGGGAGACGCCGAGTCCGCAAGGCCACACTGGAGCGAGTGCTGAGCCTCACTGCACTTGGAGCTGTGGAGTGCGGGTGAGGGTTCGCCCCACTCTCAGTCTCTGGGTCCAGGGTCGTGGCCCCTCAGTGGGTCTACCCTGAGGCACAGTGGCTCACACCTGTCATCCCAGCACTTTGGGAGGCAGAGGCAGGAGGATCGCTTGAGCCCAGTTCAAGACCAGCCTCAGCAACATAGCCAGGACTTGTCTCTATTTAAAAAAACAAATGGAGCTGGGGCTCAGTGGCTCAGCCTTTAATCCTGCACCTTTGGGAGGCTGAGGTGAGTGGACTGCCTGAGCCCGCGGGTTCGAGACCCGCCTGGGCAGGCGAGACCTCATCTCTACAATAAAATTAAAAAATCAGCCGGGCGTGGTAGCGCATGCCTGTAATTCCGGCTACTCGGAAGGCTGAGGCGGAAGGATCGCCGGAGCCCAGCAGGTCGCCGGGAGCGGCCACTACACTCCAGTCTGGGCGACAGAGTGAGACTCCAACTCAAAAAAAAAAAAATGGGCCAGGCACAGTGGCTCAAGCTTATAATCCCAGCACTTTGGGAGGCTGAAGTGAGAGGATTGCCTGAGCCCATGGGTTTGAGACCAGCCTGGGCAACTTGGAGAGACCTCATCTCTACAAAAAATCAAATAATTAGCCAGGCGTGGTGGCACATAACTGTAGTTCCAGCTACTTGGAAGGCTGAGGCGGAGGGATTGCCTGAGCCCAGCATGTGACTCACTATTATCATGTTGTCCTGGGCAGCTGGGATGTTTCTTTTATTTTGTAGACATAAGGTCTCACTCGGTCCAGGTGGGAGTACAGTAGCACCATCACAACTCACCACAGCCTCAAACTCCTGGGCGCAGGGGATCCTCCTGCCTCAGCCTCCCGAGTAGCTGGAACTAGCGGCACACAACATCATACCAGGCTAATTTTTAATTTTTTTATAGAGACAAAGTCTTGCTATGTTATCCAGGCTGGTCTCGAACTCCTGGGCTCAAGCAATCCTCCTGCCTGGGCCTCCCAAAGAGCTGTCATTACAGGCGTGAGCCACCCTGCCCGGCCTTCTGACACTGTGTTTATACCTAAGGTGAGTGAAGATCTGAAAGGAGTTGTGACCCATCCAGGGCCACACAGCCAAACTTGGCAGGGCAGGGAATCGAACCCTGGTCAGTCAGAGGTCAACTTTTCCACACCGGGCATTCTGTATAGCCCACAAAGGGGAACAGAGCCCTTCTCTGTCCCGGTCCCCTCCCCAAGACCCCATCCCGGCTCAGAGTTTCAATCCCGTCTAAACCCTGATGGATCCTCAGTCCATCTTATATGATACCTGCCTCTTCTGTGCCCACATGGGGCTTTGCAGGCATTCTGCGCACAGTGTGTCCACAACCTGCCCTCTACCATCTTCCCCTGACCCTAAGGGCAGCCCCACCTTCTTGGGGGCTCAGATTCACACTTAGAACTGTCTCCAACTCCTCTCTCTTTCTCTCCCACATCAGATCTGCTTCCGAAGTCCCCAGTAGAGCACGTCTCAAAAAAAGAAGCTGGCCAGGCATGGTGACTCACACCTGTTATCCTGGCACTTTGGGAGGCTGAGGTGGAGGATTGCTTGGTTCAAGACCAGCCTGAGCAACATAGGAAGACCTCGTCTCTACAAAAAAAAATCCAAATATTAGCAGGGCAAGGTGGTAGAGCCTGAAGTCCCAGCTACTCGGGAGGCTGAGGCAGGAGGATGGCCTGAACCCAGAAGGTTGAAGCTGCCATGAGCTATGAATGCGCCACTGCACTCCACCCTGCATGACATAGCAAGACCCTCTGTCTAAAATAAATAAATAAATAAATAAATAAGGCCGGGCACGGTGGCTCAAGCCTGTAATCCTAGCCCTTTAGGAGGTCGAGGCGAGAGGACTGCTTGAGCCCAGGGGTTCAAGACCAGCCTGGGCGACTTGGTGAGACCTTGTCTCTACATCAAAAAATTAGCTGGGCATGGTGGCACGTGCCAGTAGTTCCAGTTACTTGGAAGGCTGAGGTGGAAGGATCGCCTGAGCTCACAGCGGTGGCCGTGAGCGTGCCATTGCATTCCAGCCTGGGCAACAACCGAGTAAGACTTCAACTCAAAATAAATAAATAAGTAAATAAAAAATAATTTTTTTAAAAAGGAGTCAAAGTACTAAGG